CATGCTTTTCGCCCTAAAATGGCCAAAAATCATTGAATTTGATACGTTCATGAATAATTCATATTTTTCCAAAAGGAGTGAAAATGTGCCAAAACTCATCGAAACCATGGGTTATAGTCCATGCTTTTCGCCCTAAAATGGCCAAAAATCATTGAATTTGATACTTTCATAGATGATTCATATTTTTCCAAGAGGTGTGAAAATGGGACACAATTCATCAAAACCATGGGTTATAGTCCATGCTTTTCGCAATCAAATGGCCAAACATCATTGAATTTGATACTTTCATAGATGATTCATATTTTTCCAAAAGGTATGAAAATGGTCCAAAACTCATCAAAACCATGGTCTATAGTCCATGCTTTTTGCCCTAAAATGACCAAAAATCATTGAATTTGATACTTTCATAGATGATTCATATTTTTCTAAGAGGTGTGAAAATGGGACACAATTCATCAAAACCATGGGCTATAGTCCATCCTTTTTGCCCTAAAATGGCCAAAAATCATTGAATTTGATACTTTCATAAATGATTCATATTTTTCCAAAAGGTGTGAAAATGTGCCAAAACTCATCAAAACCATGGGCTATAGTCCATGCTTTTTGCCCTAAAATGGCCAAAAATCATTGAATTTGATACTATTATAGATGATTCATATTTTTCCTAAAGGTGTGAAAATGGGACACAATTCATCAAAACCATGGGCTATAGTCCATGCTTTTGCCCTAAAATAGCAGAAAATCATTGAATTTGATACCTTCATAAATGATTCATATTTTTCCAAAAAGTTGTGAAAACAGGACACAATTTATCAAAACCATGGGCTATAGTCCCTGCTTTTTGCCCGAAAATGGCCAAARATAATTGAATTTGATACGTCCATAAATTTTTCAAATTTTTCCAAAAGGTTTGAAATTAGGTCAAAATATCATCAAAACCATGGGATATAAGCCATCCTATTTGCCCGAAAATGGACCAAATTAACTGATATTGCAATATTTCTAAGAATAGCGTACTGATTATACATGGTTTTATTGGAAAATAGCTTTCCTTATATATACTAGAATCAATATATATGAAATCAAAGATCACTTTCAAATAAAATTTGCAAAACGAATAATAATCACAATTAAGTAAGCACGTATTCCGATTCTCTCTAGGCGCTTGATAATGGTAATTGAAATGAGTGGAATGCACTTCTGAATTCAAACGAGTGATTACAACGTTGCTTGACAATTAATAAGCAATTTAGTAAGCACCTATCAAGATCTGGTCTAGGCCCTTCATAATGGTAATTAAAATGACTGGAGTGCAATTTGGTCTGAAATCAAACAGTGATTAGAAAGTTGCATGACAATATGTTGATCACAAGTTTGATTTCAGACAAAAATTCCACGACACAAAGTTCAATTTCGTCTTCCACGATTCGCGATTAGATCGCACTGCTGGGATGCAATCAGATTGTAGAAATCACCACTGATTTCAAAAGGAAATTCATTAAAGAAGGAATAATATTACATTGAAATAATACCTTTTAAAAGTCACTTGGAAAAAATCACTTTAAAATATTGATGGTAACGTCATCACCAATGAGAAAGAATGGGGCCCAGAACTGCGCGTCGCTGTAACTTGGGATTTCTCTAATATCTTTCATGGCTTGCTGAAGGCTCTTACTTGCACTTTGACCGTTTTTCAGATGAGTGTAAAATTTTTCCATGAACGCCATAGTAGGTTGGTCAGCAATCGCCCACAGTGACGCTACCACAGCACGAGCTCCAGCCGCAAGGAATGCTCGACTCATCCCAACCACCCCCTCTGCTTTGATGTCACCACGACCACTGTGACAACAACTAAGGACAACGAGTTGAGGACGAACACCAGTTTCCTGGACTTCTTTCATTGTCAGGATGTAATCCTCCTCACTAGGCGAGTCGCAGGCTCCTGAGGGTGTTAGGAATATTTCTCCATCGGTAGTTCCGTGTGCTGCAAAGTGAACTACAGCCACACCCTCTCGGAGGCTTTGTTTGATGGTCTCTTTGGTGGCTCGTGATCCTATAAATGGCTTGACACCAAGCAACTCACCAATTATTTGAGCTTCTTGTTCTGCAGACGGAAGATCGGAGATCTTTTCTTTTTTCCCTCTGAACATCACTGTGCCAACCTTGGGGTTTCCAATTATCAGTGCACCTTTCCTGCTGTGAAAATCTTCAGGGCATTCTTGTATCGTCTTTAAAAACGTCAGGGATGGTGCGAGGCGAATCTGCTTCGTTTCGGAGAGAAACCGTCCAGTTTTTGGGTCACGAAGTGCTGCAAATGGTACAGTAAATAAGACCCCGTCAGGGATGATGACAATCTCGTCTTTAGTGAGAAGGGGGAGAACTGGAGATATCAGAGTGTTATACAAGCCTTCAAGTGGGTTTGGATTATCGTCATCGTACAAATCTTCGTCTGGTATGCATCTTTGTTTGATTTTTCCATACGAAGACATCAGCACCTTCTCTGCTACGTCCAGAGAACCGGACGTCTGTGGGACGACTGACACATTTACTTTGTCTTCATGCTGCTCTGTTTGAATTGATCGGTCCTCGCACTTGACCTCTCTGACTTTCATTGTGTTATAGGCGTCGTTCACAGCATCAGAAAGTACTGTTCCAGCTTTACTTTTACCAATGCTCAAAGCTACTAAGTTGGCGGAATTCATGATCCAAGTGAAAATGAATGACGATTGAAGAGAATAAAAGAGAATGGAGCACTCTGATCCCATCTTTTCTATGGCAGCGTAAGACATTGGATTTCGTCCTGAGTGGGTGTCTTGGTTCAGGTTATACTTTGAAATCAAAAGATCGTCCAAAGCTCGAGCTTTTCCACGCTCTAATACCAAAAGAGCCTCCTTGCCTTCGTTATTGTGCAGCAGCATCGTGCTCAGGAGCTTATACTGCTCGATGAAAGTATCAACGATAGATATCTTGAAATGGTCTTGTTCTTGAAGATGGTTGTATAGCCATTCACTACACCGCAGCGATTCTCTTAAGTAGTGTATGGACTTGTTAATACACTCCTCTCTTTCTTTCTCTTGTCCACCGTTGTTTTTGTTCTCAAGTGATAAAATTGCATACAAACTTCCGAGGTTATTGTAGCTGGATGATTGTTCGCTTTTGCTGTCCGTCTCGATAGCAATTTTCAACTCCTTTTGAAAGCATTCCATTGCTTTGCCGCGTTCGTTTAAACTTATATAAACACATCCCTTTTCGCTATATCCCCTGGCTTGTTGACTTTTTTCATCGATCTCTTCAGCCAGACGGATCTTGTCATCAAACATTTCTAATGCCTTGTCATACTGGCCAAAAGCTGCCTTACAACTTCCAAGATTTCCATAACCATCTACCTCGCCTTCTTTGTCCTTCACTTGGCGAGCGATCTCTAGAGCTTCTTCGAAACAATTTGCTGCTTCTTCAAGTTTATCGACCTTAAAGTAACAAGTTCCTAAATTAGAAATAGCTCTTCCTTCGACACATTTGTCATCGATTTGCCTTGCAATTTGTAGGTTTTTCTTTAGATGTACAATGGCTTCTTGGTATTGGCCGAGCAATGCGAGGACTACTCCTAAATTGCCATGCGCAGTTTCCTCGCCCTTCTTGTAGTCAATCTCAACACTTACTTCCAAAGCTTTGCTTTGATACTTCACTGTTTCGTAGTATTTACCCAATGACTGGTAAGCCATTCCCAAACCACTGTAGGCTCGAGCTTGTCCATCCTTGGAATCAAGGTCTGTAGCAATTTGCAAGCTGCGCTCAAGATATTTGATAGATTTGTGATAGTCGCCTTGATTTCGATGAGCAATACCAAGGTGCTTCAGTGCTGACGCCTCGACATACTTATCACCAATACTCTCAGCAATTTCGAGAGCTTTTTGGCATTTCTCAATGGCTTCACCATAGTTACCTAGATGTAGTAAAATGAAATTGAATTACTAATATATATTATAAATTAAATGCAAAGACGCAGTTTTTCTGCATTATTATTACGCGGCGAGTAACTAAAGACAAACCAAGAACATTAAAACGACTACCGGTTTCCCTAACGTACAACTGATTACATCGTTAACACTGAATATAGTTACCTAAGGTTGCGCTCACTCCACCTAGCTCACTATACACTCTTGCCACATTGTTTTTGTCGTCCATCTCGATCGCACACATTAACTCTTTCTCCAGATAGTCAACAGCTAAGTGGAACTTCGATTGAGTGAAATAGAAATTTCCTAGGCATTGGTAAGCAACTCTTTCCATGTCGTAGATTTGAAGCTGCTTGGCGATCTCCAGTGTCTTTTTGTAACTTTCAATGGCTCGTTGGGAGTCTTTCAGTTCTTGGTAGGCATCTCCAAGTAATTTATAAATATTCACGTTCACCTCTTTGTCATCTTCCGTGGCAATTAACAAGCATTCTTCACAACAGTTGACGACCTGTGGAAAGTCCTTCATTACAGTGTAAGCAGATACCATATTAACGTATGACAACTTCTGGTATACTGCATTTTTCGTCTCCAAGGCCAGAGCGAGACACTGCTTGGAATAGCTTATAGCGTCACCATGGTATCCTAATGTGTTGTATAGATTTCCTATGGTTGCACAGCAGGCTACTTCATTGTCCTTGTCTCCTATCTCCATTGCAATGTTCCTCGCTTTTTGATAGCAAGCAAGAGCATCTCGATGGTTGTTGACTATTATAGAGACATTTCCTAAACCCGTGTAAGCTTCAATTTGAGCTGCTTTATTCTCTGATTTAAGTGCGAAGGTCAAATGAAGTTTGCGGTATTGCAGAGCCTCATTGTAAACTTGTAGCATCTCAAATAACATTCCAAGTTGGTTGCACACTAGCRTTATGGTGTCTTTGTCTTCTAGGAAGTCTGCCATGGTAAAGGCTTCTAGGTAAAGATGGAGGCATTCTTCAGCAGTGAGGTTGAGTGCACCAGTTGCTGCGTACTGTAAGCTTACTCGGACAAAAATTCTCGCTTTTCTCAAGAAGTCCTCGTCCATGGATATCTGTAGAACATAAGAAAATATTAACGGACATCTCTATTATTATTATTATTATTATTATTATTATTATTATTATTATTATTATTATTA